TTTTTTAATTCTTGTTTTAGAAAAATGATCTCAGTTATGGAAAGTGTAAAGGCAAGAAAAACCTGATCATCAATTTTTTCAACAAGTGGCTTTTAATTTTTTTTTTTTTTTTTTGGTACCAAGCATGCTTGTCAGGCAGGCGCTTACACTGCTGAGCTAAATCCCTGGGCCAGCTTTTAATTTTTTAACATAATTATTTCTAGAATTTTTCCTATGTGTTTAATGTGGTTGAGAGCATATTTAATATTTACTTAAGATCCTGCTCATTTTTTATTTTCTTTTATAAACGTGTTAGCTTATCATTATAAGCTCTTGGTAAATTTTTTCGAGACAGGATCTCACTATGTATTTCAGCCTGGCCTTGAATTTGCCATTTGGCCTGGGCTGGCCTTGAACTGGTGATCCTCTTGCCTTTGCCTCTTGCTGCTGGGATTACAGGCATGTCTGCTTTCAGGCCTGGCAATAGTAATTGTTTAAAGATAAAATAGAATTTGATTATATGCTGTGCTATCATTAGTTTCACCAGTTCTCCACGTGTTAAATATTTAGGCAGTTCCTAACTTTCCAACAGTGTAAATAATATTACTTTGAATATTTCTATTATTAAATATTTAGCTGACTTGTAGGTAGTAGAACTGATTTCTGCTAGTGAGGTTCATGGGTGAAGGGTATGAACCTTTTTGTAAACTTAATTTGTAAAACATAAATGCAGTCGTCATTGCATTTGATTGTGATGTAATGGCCTTGCTTTATCCATTACTGCCTTAAATCTGACTGATGCTTTTTCAGGTAATGTTGGAGCTTTACAAATGAGGCTAATGTTGTTCATTTTAGTAATTGTTCTTGATTTTTTTAAAAAAAAATCCCAATAAAGTGGTAATGTAGGAAGATAATCCAGTTGAAACATTTTTCTGCGATGTTTTAATACAGTTTATAAAAATGCAACATTTATTGCATATGCTGCTTGTTGTTCTAGTATTTGCTATAAAAAAGTACAGGATTTTTAGGAATCTTATGGATTAATGTGGCAGGTTCAGCAATCTTGAAATGTAGGACGGAGTTTATGGAAACATAGGCCTACAGAATCTTAGCAGTAAGCTAGTTGATTGGTGACAGTTTTAAATTTAGCAGAAGGAAATTACTTTATTTCCCACTCATTAACTCCTATACATCTTCGTTGATTTATGTTCAGGGAAGTGTTTTTTTTTTTTTTTTTTTTTTTTAAAGCAGTTTTATTGAGGTCTAGTTTGCATGTACCATGTTAAGTGGATTTTTTTACTTTTTTTGGTACTGGGAATTGAACTAGGACCTTGTGCTTGCCAGGCAGGTGCTTATGCTGCTGAGCTTTGGCACAGTTAGGTGAGTTCTTAAAAATTAAATTTATAGAGTTATGCAACTATTACCACAATTCAATTTTGGAATTTTCTCAGCTTTCCCCTAAGTTCCCTTGTTCCAGTTTATTGTTAATGTCTGATTTTAACTTCAGCCCTAGACAAATTGCCTTTCTATTATGTTTACCTTTTCAGAACATTTCGTGGACTCGTGTAATAAGGTTTTCTTTTTTTGAATCTGTTTTCTTTAGCATAATATTTCAAGGATTAATCCATGGTAGAGCATATATCAGTAGTTTATTCCTTTTTGTTGTTAAATGATATTCTGTTGGATGGCTATACCATATTTTATTTCTCCATTCATTTGACAAGCAGCTTGCATGCACAAAAAGTTGAAGGGATTTTGTTGACTGGTGGTTTTTTTAAAAAAAAATTGAAACATTTACTGTAATTAGTACCCTGCTTATTTAAAAACAGGGCCTCAATTCATTAACTTGGAAGGGAAATTTGATGTGAGAACATACCACAGAAGTAGCCAGCCTGCATCAGGAAGCCAAAAAGCATTTAGCAAGAGTGCAGTGTGCGAGGTAGTAGGGACTAAGCTGACAAAATAAAGAGCTGCGTGAAAACAGGCACTCCTGTTTTGCAGAAATTATAGCTGAGCACGGTAGGAAGCAGTGGAAACCTTAGGGCAGTAGTGGAGAACCTATAGTGTGTATGTCAAAGTGTGCTGTTTGTGTCACTGAAAGTGCTGCAAGGTTTGCCATCACTGCCTTAGGGCAACATGGCTAGTGGGTATGTCTATGTTCTGGGACAAGTGTGTCTTTCTAATACTTTACCTTTAGCTGTCTTGGTTTTGAGTTAAAAATTATATAACATCTCGTCAGACGTATCTGTTACTACAATGCACATCAAGTCTGTAGTCTGAGTTATCTGAAGAGTGGGACCATTTTGGTTACATTCAGTGGTAGTGTGGAGGGAGCACACAGCATGAGGAGACAGCTCCTTATTAGCATAGAAGGTGGCAGGTGCTACAGTAGAAGGAGGTTTAGAATGAGGAAGCACTCTGCAAGGCTTTCTGGAGGAGGGAACACTGTAGACCTGATGAGACAGGTAAAGAGAGTACACAGGGCAGGAGTTTGTTACGGGGAATAGCTGTTGGCCAGCAGGTGGTGAAATGAGCTAATTATAGGATAGGGCCCACCTGGGTTTTTTTCTGCTGTTAGGTTAGTTGTGACTTGTGTGCAGTGGTGATGATGTAATCCAGACCTCTGGGACTGGATTTGTGCTGCTTGCCTACATTCCATTCCCCTTAGGGGACAAGTTTCATCTGGAGCTGGCTGTGTTGAACAATTGAACCTGTGCTTTGATCAAGCAACCTGCGGGAGATTGTTACATTGATTGTTGTATTGACTAAAGTTCTTTTAAAGGTAGAGGCTTTGGGGCTGGGAATATAGCTTAGTGGCACAGCGCCTGCCTGGCAAGCATAAGGTCCTGAGTTTGAGTGTTGGTTCAAAAAAGAAATAGAGACTTTGGTTACTTACAGAGAGGTTTAAATACAGTCCAAGTGTGCCCTCTCCCTCTGAGGCAAGTCTTGCACCATTTTTAGTCAGCTGTTGGATTCAGGTAATTTTGGTGGATGTCCCAGCTTTCAAGAAACTCTGATACACATGTTGGTGTAAGCAAATGAACATCTAATATTTAAGAGTGACATGTGCAAAGCAAAGAGCATTGTTTCAACGTGGGGGAGTATCCTGGGACTCATGGTTCAAGGTGAATCACCCATTTACCTACCTACAGGAGCAGCATTTATGGAGCACATGCTTGTAGCAGGTTCTATGCTAGTTTAGGGCATCCAGGAAGACAAGATAAGAGGTAGAAACCAGATAGTATAGTTGAGCAGATACGAGATCTGGCTTCCTCTTAGGAGGGCCAGTTTTGATCACTCAGCAGTGGTAGCCTAGAATGCTGGGTGGATTAGTGTGCCACAGCACAGGCAGAATAAAGGCTCTGTGTTTTGGCTGATGCTGTGTTAAAGTCTGGTGTGGACAATTATTTGAGTAAAGATTGGGTATGGGAGTGAGACAACTTCTATCATAGTTCAGAAGATGATTTGCTTAATGGTGTGGAGTGGTGGACCTGGAACACTGATGTCATTGCTTATTATGCACTGTCTTCAGGAGGTTCCTTAAATGTTTTTAAACCTTAGTTTCTTTAAGTATAAATGGAGATAATAACACCTGCCTCACATGTATCATAATGTTGGTGGGAGGAACTAGTGAAATAATGAGTATGAAACAATGAGTATGACTACCCCCAGAGTGACAAACAGCTGGAACATTATTACTACAGGTGTGGCAGTAGGTGGAGCAGGAAATCTTTTTAATAAGACAGAATTGAGCTGGATGGTAGTGACCTCAGGGCCTTAGCAACAGATCCATATGTTCAGTCTACTGGCTCTTGTTATATCCAGGTCATAACTCCAAGGCTGTTCCTGCTTAGGCCATAGAATTTAAGCCTGACCTTGCCCTCTCTCCACTTAATGTCCATCTACCATGGCATCCTCTTTTATTTTTCTAGAGTTCTCATTAACTGAAATGTCTGGTTAGCTTCTATTTTCCTCTGCCAGAACAGTGCAGATGTAGTAAGGTAGAGAGCTTGCCTATTCCAGTCCCCTTTTTTCCATCCCCAGAGTCCAGAAGAGTGCCTGACATACGGATGATAGTCTTCACATTGGTTGCATGAGTGAAGAAAGGAAGGCCTCTAACTCCCAATAGCTAATCAGGAATGGGCCAAGAAGTCCTGGGAGGATTGCTAAGAATTGAGTAGAGTTGCTGTGACTTCCTGTCTCTCTAGACATCTTCCTGAATCTCATTTCTGTGATTATTGAGAAATCAATTCAATTCAGTGCACAGAAATTGTAACTTACTTGAAAACTCTGGATCTGAGTTCAGGATATAATCTCTTATACAACATAAAGAAATAATCAAAATTCATGTTCTTTTGTGTGTGAGTGTGTGCATGCATGCGAGTATGTGTGTGCACATAATGGTGGTGGTATTAGTGATGGTAACAGGTCATGAAATTGCATTGTGTTTCCAGTTTGGCAGGCTGTTGGATTCAGTTTCTGGAATATAATCCTGCTCTTTGAACTACATATGATATGAATAAGATATGCAACTTATGAATTGGAAACAATATCTAGCCCCTCCCCACATCAAACTGATTTTTTAAATATTGGCTTTTCTTGGGCTGGGGATTTAGCTCAGCAGCATAAGCACCTGCCTGGCTAGCTCTAGGCTGTGAGTTCGAACGCCGGTACCAAAAAAAAAAAGGCTTTTCTTTTGCTGTTGGATGGCACCAATTCCCTTTTACAGAGTTTCTCTCTCCAAACTATTACAGTACTGTGTTTTTGGGAGTTCAATGAGTATGGCAAGACTGTGCTAGGCGTTTCTTCTCTGACTTATGTGAAATGAAAATAAATAGAGAGGGTTGTGGAGTGGCCCAGGGCAGTTACCAAGTCTGCCTATAAATCCAAATGTCTCCTTTGTACCTTCATGAATGTGGAGCCTTTGATTGGATGGCTCCTTGGCTCTCTGCAGATGCTGGGAAGCCCTGCTTGTGACTCCCTTCACCAGGTGTGCTAATAAGTTACTGCTTCTCTTGCAGAGTAACCTGTCTGTGTGCTCAGTTTGAAGCCGTCCTGCAGCATGGCTTGAAGAGGAGTCGAGGATTAGCACTCACAGCAGCGGCCATCAAACAGGCTGCTGGCTTCACCAGCAAAACTGAGACAGGTACTTCTCTGCCTTCTGTGGCTCGCAGAAGTTTACCTTTTTTCTTTATCTCTCTCTCTTTTTTTCTTTTCTTTTTCTCTTGCTTTTTTTGTTTTCTGTTTATTTATTTATTGCAGAATGGTCATTGTGTGGTCTGGGCTGTGTGACTATATTTGCAAAAATCCATGCCTTATTTGTAGGTAAAAAACTATAGTGTTGTCTGGCATCTTCATTTAAATGAAGTCATCTTCTGTGTAGATTTCTCAGAGCCTCATGTCACCCACTGCTCAGGGTTTGGGAACCTGCAGCCAACATGCTTATTTCACCAAAGTGCTGTGGCAGCTTTCAGGGAAAAAATGGGCGTAGCGTGATATTTAATGATGAAATGACTTCAATGGCAATAGAAATTCCATGGGACTCTGAGCTTTGAGTTCTGCTCATCCATTTTAATGTACAAATATCTCTGAGTGGTAGGGATAATGCTCTTAATAATAACTATCTATACTTGGTGTTTATTGCAAGCCTGGCCTTTGGTAGTCTTTGAGGTAAGTTAACTTATTGGGTTCTCGTGTCAACCCCTGGAGTAGTAAGGACTTTTGCTATATCTCCTTAACTGGGATGGAGAAATTGTATCAGTGATTTGTTCCCGATCTGAACCTGGGAGTGAACTATGTCATATAAAAATGCCCTGTGGTCTTCTCCCACATTTTTTTTTTTTTTAAATTTTATTTAAGGAGAGAAAGAAAAAAAAAAAAAAGCAGAAAAAGGGTACAAGTTATACAGAATTTCAGAAAAATAAATAAACAGTAGGAAATCACTAGTTAATGGATTACATATTGTCATCTTAGAAATATTTGTTCAAGTTACAATATTAAAGCATATAAAGTGGACATTCAAACAATGAGACTGCAAATAGTTCTGTTCAATGATCCAGCAAAATTCAGTAACTTATACACTTAAATATACATGCAGTTATATCGTTTAGAGCACTTTCTTTTCCTCTCTTTTGTGCAATGACTATTACACTTTTTGGGTTTTACTAGTCCCACAGTTCTTATTACTTTTTTGGAAGAGAGTAAAACCAAATGTGACATAACAGAACAGAGTCGGTCAAGTCAAAAGGGTGGACATAATAGATAATGTAAAAACATAATACAAGGTGATCAACATTGATTACCATAATGCCTCCCGCTGTCTCCAATAGAATTGCCTATATCATCAGTTATAATAAAATTGAACAAAACAGTAAAGAACAAAACCAACAGAACCAAAACATTGGAGACATTACAGGTCTTCAAAAAGTAGATAATAGTCAACCAGAATGGGCGTCATAATGAATCCCACTATCTTCACAGCTGTTGCCTAAACTTTCGAACCTGGTACTATCAAGCAAAACAGAATAGAGGAATATCAGTCAAAACAAGATGGTGAGAGCAATACAGGGCTTCAAATCAAGTTAATAGAAAATCAAAGTGGATCCAGCCAAGATTGATATATCCTATTTTTTAATTTATTTTTCCCTTAATTAAAAGGATAAAAATGAAAAAGTAAATAATAAAATGGAGATTGAGATAAGAGGGTAAAACAACAAAGCAGCGCAGATCAAAACATAACCATTTAAGCAAAATAGTGTTTCACCACAAGATAATCCCAACATAAAAGTAGTTCCCATATTGTCTCTTTCCTTGAGAACTTTGAGTATAACTTCATATACTGTAGCATCAAATATATCAAAACAATGTAAAACCATTCTAGAGAATGACAGTAATCCCAACATAAAAGTAGTTCCCATATTGTCTCTTTCCTTGAGATCTTTGAGTATAACTTCGTATACTGTAGCATCAAATATATCAAAACAATGTAAAACCATTCCAGAGAATGACAGTATTACAGGGTATTTGGAATCAACTAACAGAAAATGAACAATGGTTTCTGTATACTCTCTTTGTCTATAAAAGTTTTTGTTTATACTATCACATATAATAAAATCCGATAAGATACAACATGTTAAGACCTATGGAGACAGAAGAACAAAAGCTTGATGGGACTTCAAAACAAGGTGATATTAAATCAGCATTACCTATTATGACATCGTTTTCTCCAAAATAGCTGTTCCTATCATCCAATCTTCTCTGCTTCATTTCTGTTGAGCGCTTTTTCTGTCATTAGTTGTCAGTTTGTCTTCTTCATTTTGTTTTCGGCTCCATGCATTGTGGCCTCTCTGCCACTATTTCTGGATTCTTCGTATTTTTCTTTTTTAGAATATCCTGCAGTATTCTCTGTAGAGTTGAATTGGTGGTTGCATATTCCCCTAGTTCCTCTTTATCCTGGAAGTACCTTGTTTTTCCATCAATTTCTAGGGACAGTTGTGCAGGATATATCAATCTTGGCTGGAGGTTATTATCTTTCAAAGCTTGAATTATTTCTCCCCACGTTCTTCGTGATTTGATGGTTTGTGCCGAGAAGTCTGCTGTAATTCTGATTGGTGTTCCCTTGTAAGTGATCTGTTTCTTGTGTCTGACGGCTTTTAATATTCTGTTCTTATATTGAATTTCTGGTATTTTGATTATTTTTTTTTAAATTTTATTTAAGGAGAAAAAAGAAAAAAACAGAAAAAGGGTACAAGTTATACAGAATTTCAGAAAAAATAAACAGTAGGAAATCACTAGTTAATTACATATTGTCATCTTAGAAAAAGTTGTTGAAGTTACAAAATTAAAGCATGTAGAAGGGACTTTCAAACAGTGAGACTGCAAACAGTTTTGTTCAGTGATCCAACAAAACTCAGTAATATGGTTATCTCAGTAATATGGTTATACACTTATATATATATGCAGTTATATCTCTTAGAGAACTTTCTTTTCCTTTCTTTTGTACAATGACAGTTATACATTTTGGGTTTTATTGCTCCCACAGTTCTTATTTTTTTTTTGAAGAAAGTAAAACCAAATGTGACATACCAGGACAGAGTTATTTAAATCAAAAGGATGGACATAATACATAATGTAAAAACAAAATACAAGGTGATCAACAATGGTTACCATAATGCTTCTTGTTATCTTAAAAAGAATTGCCTATATCATCAGTTACAATAAAATTGAACAAAACAGTAAAGAATAAGACCAATAAAATCAAAAGATTGGAGACATTAGAGGACTTCAAAAGAAGATAATAGTCAACCAGAATGGGCGTCATAATGAATCTTACTGTCTTCATAGTTGGTTCCTATACTTTCAAACTTGGTACTATCAAGCATAACAGAATAGAGGAAAATCAGTCAAAACAAGATGGTGAGAGCAATACAGAGTTTCAAATCAAGTTAATAGGAAATCAAAGTGGGTTACTATAATATATCCTCTATTTTTAAATTTATTTTTCCCTTAATTAAAAGGATAAAAATGAAAAAGTAGATAATAAAAAGGAGATTGAGATAAAAAAGAGGGCATAACAACAAAACAGCGCAGGTCAAAACATAGCCATTTAAGCAAAATAGTGTTTCACCACAAGATAATCTTGACATAATAGTAGTTACCATAGTGTCTCTTCCCTTAAAATCTTTGGTATAACTTCGTATACTATAGCATCAAACATATCAAGACAATGTAAAACCGTTCAAGAGAATGACAGTATTACAGGGTATTTGGAATCAACTAACAGAAAATGAACAATGGTTTCTGTATAATCTCCTTGTCTATAAAAATTTTTGTTTATATTATCACATATAATAAAATCCAATAAGATACAACACGTTAACACCGATGGAGACAGAAGAACAAAAACTTGATGGGACTTCAAAACAAGAGGATATTAAATCACCACTACCTATTATGATGTCTTGTTTTCTCCAAAATGGCTGTTCCTACCATCCAACCTTCTCTGCCTCATTTCTGTTGAGCTCTTTTTTGTCATTAGTTGTCAGTTTGTCCTCTTCATTTCACTTTCTGCTCCATTCATTGTGGCCTCTCTGCCACTGTTTCTGGAATCTTGGTATTTTTCATTTTTAGAATATCCTGCAGTGATCTCTGTAGAGTTGAATTGGTGGTTGCAAATTCCCCTAGTTCCTCTTTATCCTGGAAGCACCTTGTTTTTCCATCAATTTCTAGGGACAGTTGTGCAGGATATATCAATCTTGGCTAGAAGTTATTATCTTTCAAAGCTTGAATTATTTCCCCCCATGCTCTTCGTGATTTGATGGTTTGTGCCGAGAAGTCTGCTGTAATTCTGATTGGTGTTCCCTTGTAAGTGATCTGTTTCTTGTCTTTGACGGCTTTTAATATCCTGTTCTTATATTGGATTTCTGGAATTTTTATTATTATATGCCTGGGTGTCGCTCTGTTTGGGTTGTAGGTGGCTGAGGTCCTGTATGCCTCATACATCTGAGTATCTTTACCTTTTGCTAAATTAGGGAAATTCTCCTGGATTATTTCTGTGAATAGCTTTTGTAGTTCATTTGTTTTCGTCCCTACTTCTTCTTTTATGTTCTTAATTCTTAAGTTATAGATCCTCTTATCATCTTCTAGTCTTTGTATTATTGCTGTTTGTTTCTTTGTTATTTTTAACAAGTTTTTCATTTCATGCTCCCATATTACAACTCTGCCCTCCAGTTCAGATAATCTGTCCTTAGTTTCTTTCAAGCTGTTATGCCAGTTTTTGATAGAGTTTTTAGATTCCTGGTAATCTCTTTGAACCTGCTTCACGTATTCTATGTTTTCTATGTTTTCTCCATCAAACAATTCTGCCCTTTTTTTCTGTTCTTCCATTCCACCATCTGTTTTTTCTTGGGTGGTGCTTAGCATTTCTCTAACTATTCTGCTTATGTCTTGCTTCAGGTCATTAATAACTTCATTCCTGAATTCATCTATGAGGCTCTGGAGATAGCCCTTTATGTCTATTGGTGCTGTCTCTGCTATTGCCTGTTTCTCAGGATTGGGGGCCGAGGAGCCTTTCTTGTTTCTCCCTCTTCCCATATTCTTTGTTCCTTAAATACAAGTGTATATAGGAGGCCCAGCTTCCTTCCCTGT